ATATATATATAGATATATAGATATATAGATATATATATATATATATAGATATATATATATACATCAGAATCAGGGAACCAAACTAGAGGGTGGCAAAGAAATTAGAGCACCCTGTTACCAAAGGTTTACAGGTTCAATCACTTAAAGTCACTCTGCAGAAGAGCACCAGATAATTATGAAACGTCGTTGCTCACAGTGTACTTGACTAACAGCTCTTTCTGCACCGCATGCTTGTAAAACTCTATTCAGAAATGTTTTTTCCAGCTAGATTTTACTTGTAAAAGTTCATACATTTACACACATTGTAGCTGGGAAGTACAAACTTTTTTTAAAAACTTTTACAGCAGTTGCTCAGGAAAATGATTGTTTTTTATAAAGTTTTCAAAAATACATTTACCCATCAATTGTGTTATTTACAAAGCTAAATCGTGATGTATTTTTTTTTGTATAAAATTGTGACTTTCCAGACAGGTTTGACTGTAAACGAGTTGTGTTTTTCCTCACCTGGTAGAATTTGTGGGTGTGCTGTCTGACAAAGGAAGCATTGATAACCTGACCCTCGGGTGTGGTGACCACAATCAACTCCCCCACCTCAGGAGGACCGGTGCGCAAGCAGTCATGACTCTGAAGGAGGAAGAGAAACAGGATGCAGTCAAAGAGGAAGAAGATTGAGAGGAATAGAGTTTGTGGTGTAAAACCCCCCCACTCCCCAATGCACGTGTCCTTTTAATAAACACTAGTCTTTTAAAATGGTGATAAGCCCCCTGATATTAAATAAATTACAAAAAGACTTTCCACGTTTGCACAATTCAAACTGCTTTTTTAGTTTTACTATTTTATAATACCAGATTACTTGATACCCTTCTCTAAACAAGTGAAGTTATCATTGCCGTTGTGTGCGTGTGTGTGTGTGTGTGTGTGTGTGTGTGTAACGTGTGGCATTGTTTCATTAAAGCACATTTGAACTCAACAGTATTTAAGTATATAACAGTTGCTAGGATATTTTCTCCTGGCTTATATAAAAAAAAAAATTTATATTTATAGGAGTTATTTCTGTACATTGTACACCGGTGGGCGTCTAACTACGCTGGAAGAACACTCACTAAGATATTTTCTGGGTGCAGATTGTCACAATACGAGCCGTCGTCAAAGTTGACCTCGTAGAACGTCTGCGTTGCCATGCCAATGATGGTACAGTGGTAGTACCAGCCGTCGCTGTTGCGACCTATCACCCTCTGGCCCAGGGTCAGCGTCTGAGGGCCTTTGGACGTCGTCCGGGTCTGGAGGGAGGAAAACCCAGACGGATAATTTCAGGTTAAGACTAGATTAAACCGGTTTGTGTGCGCTCATCCAGCACTTGTTGCAATCAGCAGTGGTACATATAGTCCCCTCTCTCTCTCTCTAAAAAAAAACACACACACACACACACACACACACACACACACACACACACACACAAAAAGATTAACTTTTCATCCACTAGAAGTCAGTCGGAGACGTTCAAAACCCAAATGACTGAACCCTAAAGAAGAGGCATTCAAGCTCGCGTTAACACAGAAAGTGGTACTAATACCTTGATATGAACGATGCACTTACCTTCGAGGAAAGCCTTTTATGCTTGCGACAGGTGACCGACACCACGTAGGGCCAGTCGGCTGGCCTCATGACAACTCCGGCGATTTGGGCGCAGGTGACGTGGAAGGAGGTGGCGCAGTTCTCGTGCGAGCACTGGATGCAGGCGCCGCGGTTCTGATGGGCAGTCTTGCCGTGGCAGAACACACACTTCTACAATAAAAACAGAAAATAAAGACAAAAACACCTTTAATAAATTCTCTTTCAAGGACATTTAATTATAAACAACTACTGGTTTCTTCATCGCCAGTGAACATACAAGCTCAACGACACTGGTAGCTGGGCAGACGCTGTTATTATGGATCCTCCTCCAAAGCTCATATCTCAGTCGAGTGTTTCAGTGAACTTGCTGTTGGTGGAGACGTGGGCCCGGTTTCAGAAAGCAGGTTTAACAAACTATGGGCCTAACCCTGAACGCTGAGTCGACGAACTAACTGATGGGAAGCTCTGAGTTACTGGTTCCAGAACAGCTGATCAGAGTTTGTTCAATAAACCTCGAGTTTGTTTAAAAGATTTAAAAAACTGCGCCACTAATAATACGATCGGTGGTTTAAAGGTTAACATACAGTAGATTTTCTATTTTAGACATTTGGACTGTTATTGGGTTAACGGTATTCTGTGGCTTTATTTCAGCTATTGTAAAACATACAAACACAGTCTCTGAAATGCTGTTAAAAACATACAGACTCTACAGTTAAAAACTGACATCCTGCAGCTGCTCACACATATAAACATATAATCTCCAATATTATAGAAAGGATCAGCGACAGCTGACGTAAACCGACAGATGTCCGTCTCTGCAGGAGGTTGTATTGTGAGGTGAGGGTGACTTGACGTTGTGTCATCTTTAAATGTGAGGGGGTCGAGGGCAAAACTTGCTGTTCAAAGCGATGACTGACGCCACATAAAAACATGCTTGTGCAGTCATCAGTGTGAGCAGCACGGCGAGATTCCCTACACTGAAAATGTCAACACTTCCTTGAAGAACAGCTTGTTAGTAACAGCTTCCTGAACCACCGCTATCACATTCAAAACGTTTATTTTTTTCTCCATCTTTTTTCCCTGCATCCTTCTTGCATCACTTGTTCGACTCCTACTCTTGCACAATCAGAAGATTGGAACACGTCCTCTTCAAATCCCTTCATTCCATCCCCAAATCCAGAGTGTGAAATTACCACCAGTCAACCAAATCTGTGCCTTTGGCCGGCGAAACTGGTTCCCCTCTCCACTGAGACACTTTGACATGTGCCACCTTGCACACACAAGCCACACAACAATCATTTTTTTAATTTCCAATTCACTATCAATCCTTCAACCCACCATGTCCTCCCCTTGTCTTTACACTTTCCTTCCCCGCCCCTCATCTGTTCCTCGCTTCAGTTAAAATGGAGAGAACAAGAGAAAGATGAAAAGTCGGGACACACCAAGGAAAGAGAATAACAGCATGTGAAGCAATCGTTTCGCCTGTCACAGTGAGTTGCCTTCTCAATACACCAGGGTAGGTGTGTTTCAGAAACATCATCTCTGTTCAAAAGCCGAATGAAAATATGTATCTATTAAGAAATCTCCTGCAAAGAAATACAATATTTTTTTTGTGTGTGTGTGTGTGTGTG